CTGACAGGATCCTGGACCGAGGGCGGTGCTACTGCCCCTTGCACCTCCATGCATTTGGAGGTGTGACACTCAGGGAGGATGCATCCTCACATGCACCCAAGGGTGGTGCTGGCTCCAGGTTTTAAGGCACTTGGGCAAGACACCCCCCCGTCTTCTCAGCTCCGTTGCCACTGGCTGCTCTGGCTTGCCCTCCTCTTCCCCGCTGTTGTTGCCGCTTCCTCATGTGGCGGGCAGAGCGCCAGAGAGCGAGGCGGCCGCACCACCTCCTGCTCCTCTTCTCATGCTCATCGTGGTCCGGACCAGGCCAAACGGCAGGTGAACAAGCAGTGCCCACGGCGAAGAGGAGGAGAGGCCCCGGGGGGCTCCTGCAGGATCCCTGCTGGAGTGTGGGCCTCGAGCCGTGGCCTGGCCATACCTGGCGCAGGTCGATGCCCACTCTGCCCAGGACGTTGGAGGAGGAGCCTCCCCCGCTAAAGTTAGCGCACAGGCAGGCGGGCACGCTGCCCTCTGCAGCTCCTTGTGTCCCAGGCCACGTAGGGCTCGGAGGATCGCGCCGTGTCTTGGGCGCAGGCAGCGTGGGCTGCAGGGCACCGCACTGTACTGCAACCCGGGAAAAGCAAGCGAGGCGTCCAGAACCGGGGCAGCACCTTGAAGCGCTTAGCGACGCTCTTCCTGCGGTGCGCGTCCTTCGCGGGGTCGCGCGTCGCCGAGCCCTCCAAGAGGAGCAAGGCAATCGCAACCGCGGCCTCCCGGCTTCGCAGGAGGCCCCTAGGGGGCGCAGCCGAGCTGCTGAGCTTCTCTCCCGTCCCCTCCCTCCGAGCCATTCCCAAACAATAAAAGTTTGTGAGGAAGAAATGGAAAAGAAGGTAGGAAGAGGGGGCAATTTTCCAGCTGCCTCTTCCAGCACACAGCCACACACAGATTTTGTGTGTTTTTCCTTCTTGAACTGTGAGTCACGCTTCCGGGTTTGATTATCAGGGAGGTCCAGAAAAAAAGGACTCGAAAGGAGAGCTAAACTGAACAAAACAACAAAAGAGAAAAACATTTGGCTTGATTTTGCACTTGTGTGGCCCAACTCAGTCCACAGGCAGGTTTTTTAGCAGGTCCGACAAGTGCAGGTGTAAGTTCAGAACCAACGTCTGTTTTTGCTAAATCACTTCCATACAAATGGCAGAGGAATTCTGCACATGCCCAGAGAAACTCCTCATAGGAGTTCACTTACCAGGTAGTTACCAAAGCCTTGTTTACCCGACCACCAAATACACACCAAAATAAAAGGTTGCTCAGCTTCACTCCAGTTCTGCGACTACAACAGGGTTGTTGTGATAATTCAAGGAGGGCTTCCCCTGCGAAATGGGTAAAATGGGTGCAGCAATATGTAGATTTTTTTTTTCCTTGCAGTGCTGGGGCTCGATTGAGGAAATGGGTTCCGAATCCAGGCATCAGCCAGTTCAGTGGCTGACCCTGAGCAGTCTGGCCTCCCTTTCAGGGTTGTTATGAAGATAAAGGGGTGTGGGCATACGCAGGCTATGTGGACCTCTCTGACTATCTTGAAAAAAGGAAGAGCATAAATGAAAAGAATAAATACATCTGGAGACAGCAGAACATCTTGACTGAAACCCCAAAAGGACAGGCCCCGGAGCAAAACAGGATCATTGTCTGCAGTGACCATCTCTAAAGAGCATTTAGCCCTGATGGTGTCCAACCTTCCGAAGGAGAGGAATGCGAAGAAAGCAACAATCAGGTTTTCCCTGCTTGATCCAGTTGGACTCTGCAGCTCTCCTTTACCACTGTTTTTCACTTAAGACATGCCTCTTTCGTTCGGTTTTTGGTTCTCTTGTGACTGCACATTAGTTGTTTTTTTACATGAGTAACTATATAAAATAACTAAATAAAGGCAAGTCTTTGGTAGTTCGCGACATCTCTCCTCCCACTCTCAGCACATAAGACGGGCTTCTTACAGACACCCTGGAAGGTGACTACTTTAACTTAAGTGTTGCAATTAATTGACTGATCGATTTCTATGCCACCCATTGGCTGGAATGGCCCTCCCCCATCGGGCAGCCCTTCACAGAGACAGAGCTGCGATGCAGTCGAGGTCCAGGGGGCTGCAGCCCCGCGGCCGCAGCCCGATGCACACACCCGTCATGGGACGACACGTGCAGAGGAACGAGCCGCACGCAGGGTGCGTGCATGCACACGCTCCCGTCCGCGAGGAGCGCCGGAGACGGCGGCTGCCATCCTCAAGGCAGAGGCGGTGCTGAGAGATGGCCCGCCGGGGCCATCTTCCCCTGGGAGCCGCGACTCGCCGAGCTTGAGGACCCTCCTTTAACGGGCTCTTTCTCCGCACGGGCTCGCCCTCCTCCCTCTGAATCTTTCCGCCTTCAGCGTCTCGCCCACAGACCTTCCTCCCCGTTCACACACCCACTGGCCACGCGAGCGCCCTTGGGTGCAGGGCCCTGCACGGGCCCAGCGGAGCGGCTGCAGAGCCCGCGGCCCATCTGAGCCGGTGCGCGGGGATCGGGGGAGCCGGGCAGCTCGCGACGCCCCCCGGGCCGTTTTGGGCCGGTCGCCGACTCCTCGCCTGGCCCTCCTCGCGGGGCTCCCGTGAGGGCGGGAGGGGGACGCTGGGCTCCCGGCAGGGGGGCAAGGCGGGGCTTTTATGGAACAACAGCCACGACGCGCGAACCCGGGCGGGCTTGCTGGGCCGATGCACCGGAGCCCCCGAGGCGTTCAGCGCCAGCCCCGCGCCAAGGTGCTGGCGGGAGCCGCGGCCCGCAGCAGCCCCGGCGGGCGCCAGGTTGGCGACGCCCGCCCCGCGGAGCGCGGCGCGCCTCGTAAAATGGGACCCGAGGCGGGCGAGGCGTGGTTTTCCCAGGCTGCATGGCGGGGCGGGAGCTCGCCGGAGGCCTCCCCTGCGCCTGCTCCCGCTCCGCTCGCTCCGCGCCGCTCCCGCTCCCTCTCCCTCTCCCTCGCTTGCCTGCCTGCCTGCCCGCCCGCCCGCGTGCGCGCGCCGGCGGCGCAGGGAGCCAGCGGCGCTGCGGCACGTGCTCTCGCGGGCCGGGCGGGAGGAGGAAGGGCTCGCGCGGGCGGGCGGGCGCGCGCGCCCCGGCCGGGCTGGCGGAGGAGGCACGAGAACAGCTGGCGGCTGCCTGCGCCGGAGCGGGGGAGGGCAGCGCTGGGGGAGCGTGATTGACAGCTCCGGGAGCCGCCAGCCAATGGGAGGCCGCCGGGCCCGCCGCCCCGCGCCGATTGGCTGCCTGCCTGGCAAGGCTTCGCGTGCCGGACCAGCTGCTCCTGGCTTTATTTTTCCTCCACCGCCCCCACCCTCCTTTTTCTACTGCTGGAAGAGAAACTTTCTTTCTTTTTCTTCTTTTTTTTAGCAACAGCTGGAGGGAGATGTGGGTAGGGTTCTGTCTAGAAGCAGCAGTGCTCTGTTGTTATTGTCCTGCTCTGTTTTTTAATTGTACGTGTAAAACCGCGAGGGACCCTTTCTCGCCATTCCGGTATGAGTCACTTTACGGTTGAGCTATTTCTTGGGAAAATATCCACTGAGGTAGGAACCCTAGAAGAATAACTAAAAGCAGGCGGCAACGGCAACCGAAGTTGCAACCAGCTCCTTTTGAAAAGAGTCCAGCTGGTAAGGAAGCACGCAGCTAGCGTTTAGTTTTTCAGACAGCAATCCTATGCGACCAAAGGGGCATTGCTGCGCGAATCATGCATAGGATTGCACTGCAAGAGTTCAGTTAGGAAATCCAGTATTTGCAGGCTTAGCATATTTTTACGCAGCCCGGCTTGTCTGGATACTTTTTATCTGTTAAAGTAGGCCAGTTTAGCAAGGGAGCATCAATTTTATACTGCCCTCCACTTCCCGTCTCTGACGTCCCTAAACCAAAGAGAAGAAAATAAATCCAATATACTATAAAAATGGAGGGACAAATCGATCTCTCTCCCTCTTTCAAAAGCTGAATAGCAAATCAGGGGAAATCGGGAAAATGGGTCTAGAATGTAGCATGATTTAGCACAATCGGTCTACATTCCTTTTTTAAAAATCCTGTATGTGCTTCTCTACCCCACCTTTCTCTCGTTTCCTATTTAAGCCACGCAGGACAATCAGCGATGTGAGCGCAACGGTGCTTTCCCTTCTCCCCCCTGTACACGGGAAACACACACACGGCGCGGGGGGGGAGGGTCGCGAATAGTGTCTGGCCCCAATGCCTGAAATCCACTCCAGGCCCACGAGCGAAGGGCAGGGTAGCTGCACCTGGGGCGTCGTGGGACTGACTCCTGGAGAAGCCCCTTCTATAGGGCCGCACTGACCGAAAACCTCCTGCTGCACCGGCGGCGCAAAGCCAGCCTGGCCCTGCCTTTGAACCGCCGCGAAGTCCTGCGCTTTCCATTCCTTGGAATAAATGTTTCTGTTGCGCGTGTGTGCGTGTGCGCGGGCGCGGGCGCGCGCGAAGCACGGGCGAAGGGACCTCCGCATCCCAGGAAGGGAGCGGGCCGCGCGTGCGTTTCCGTCTCCCCGCAAAGCCTGAAGCGCGCTCGGAGGACCCCCCCCCACCCTCCCTCTGCAACTGGAACCGAGGCGTGTCCCGCGTCCCCGTTTACCGGGGACGCCCCCTCCTCCCTGCTGGCTGCACAGGTTGCCATGCACAACTCTTTCCGGGGGGGCGCCCCGCCGCCCCTCGCCGCCCCCGCCCCGCTTGCCGCTGGCGTCCATCCGACCCTGGGCGAGCGGGAGGGCTGGGCGGTTTTCTAATATTTTTTGGGAAGCGTGTGCGGGGGGGGGGAGAGAAGGAAGCTCAGCGCGTGACTGACAGCTTGCGGGGGCGTCCTCCAATCGGAGCGCCCGACGGGGAGAGCCCCGCCTCGGATTGGCTGCCGGGAGTGTGGGAAAGAATGTGGAGAAGGTTTCACACGAATTGCGAGCCGCCGGCGGCTATAAAAGCGCGGGGGGAGATCCCGGCCCCGCCGAGCCAAGCCGAGCAGCCGCGGCTCGCCAGCTACAAAAGGCAGCGCGCCGCCCGCCCCGCGCCCGCCCGCCCGCGCCGACTCTCCTCTCCTCTCCTCTCCTGCCTGCCCGGCTCGCCCGCCCGCCCGCGCGCTCCTCCCGAGCCGGATACATAAGCCTGGTCGCGCTTGCGCCACAGCCTGCAACTTTGGAGACACCTGGGCCACCAACATCGGATGTACAGTGCCGCGCGTGGGTTTTGGGTCGTTTTTGCTTTTGCTTTTTTTTTGTTTTGTTTGAGCAGTTGATTCATTCACTGCTGCTGCTTGTCCAAAGGTATCATCCCCCCCACACACACCTTTAAAGAAATAATAATAATCCGGCATTAAAATAAGGAAGCCACCAAAATGCCAGCTGATACCCTGGAGAAACCGACTGCGTCCCCCATTGCAGGCGCTCCGGCCAGCTCCAGCCAGACCCCAGACAAACCGAAGAGTGCCAGCGAACACAGAAAGGTAATGTCCCGCCGCCCCGTATCTTCTGAAGGGGTCCCCCCCTCCCAAAAGGACTGGATTCCTGAATGCAGTCAGGATGCAGATGCATATTAATATTCCTTCCCGATGAATCTTAATTTACTGTATGCAGGCAGACAGATGGCATCATCACAATTCAATTGCCCCACAAAATATTGTGGTCAACTGGTGGTGTTTTCTGTGGCACACCGATCTCCAGGATGTTGATTGTGTTGCGTGTCTAAGAAGTGTGTGTGTGTGGAATATGCGGGCAATAAGCCACCAGTGGATGTCAGAGAGCAAAAACTGGGTTGTGCTCAAGGGGACACCTTCTTGGTAGAGATTTGTATAATTAGAGTTCTACGGGCAAAGCAATCGGGCAAGAAGCAGCCGCTTGCACTGGTTTCCAGAGTTGTCATGTAGGTGTGGAAGGGGCAGTGGGCACGGCAGAGGAAAACTGAATCCGGAAATCAGTCGGCATGCAGGGGTGGGGGCGGCGATTTCCAGCACCAGAGGGGCTACGAGGATACCCAAGCAGAACCCAGCAAGGTTCAAGTAGATTGCGAAAATGAGCAGGGAGCTGATCCCGAAGCAGAGCTATGCGGAGGGGGCAGGCACGGCCTTTTACTGAGCCCACCTAAATTCTTATTCCTCCTCCTTTTCTCCCCTCACTTCACAGTCTTCCAAACCAATCATGGAGAAGCGCCGCCGTGCCAGGATTAATGAAAGCCTGGGCCAGCTGAAGACTCTCATCCTAGACGCCTTGAAAAAAGATGTGAGTTGGATTCCAAGTGGGGTGCAGAGAGAAGGCATTCGGAGTTGCTCTGAGGGGAGAGCAAAGGGGGTTGTTACACGACAGGGCCTGCTCCCAGGCGTGCACACAGAGGCGTGCACACAGCCTCCCAGTACCCCACGGGAGCAGGGGGGTGTCCCTGCTGGGCATGCTTCCAGCCCGCTTTGGCCATGGGAATAACTGGGCGAGGGGCTGGGCAGCGAATTAGCCTCTGTGGCCACACGGAGTGGAAGCTGTGAGACGGGGAGGGGCTGATCACTTCACCCGCAAAAGCGAACTCACTCATCTCACCTCCTTGCCTCCCCAGGGGCCTGCTCCCAGGCGTGCACACAGAGGCGTGCACACAGCCTCCCAGTACCCCACGGGAGCAGGGGGGTGTCCCTGCTGGGCATGCTTCCAGCCCGCTTTGGCCATGGGAATAACTGGGCGAGGGGCTGGGCAGCGAATTAGCCTCTGTGGCCACACGGAGTGGAAGCTGTGAGACGGGGAGGGGCTGATCACTTCACCCGCAAAAGCGAACTCACTCATCTCACCTCCTTGCCTCCCCAGAGCTCCAGACACTCAAAGCTGGAAAAAGCCGATATTCTAGAAATGACAGTCAAGCACCTAAGGAACCTCCAAAGAGCTCAGATGACAGGTGAGTGCCAGCCCGCCTGTGCACAGGCCCCCTTGGGGCAGGGGGGGCTCTCCCATGCTGGTTCCCTTGACAGCCTTGAGGGGCACAGAAGCTGCGCCAGCACACAAACACCACATCTCGCTGCCGGGGGGCCCCACCTGCCCACTCTGCCACCTTTCCTGCTAATCTGTTTGCCTATCATGTTGATACCCCGCAGTTGCTCCAATAAGGCATTTTGACATGGAGATGCCCCATTTTGCACAAAAATCCTCTCAGCAACCCTGTGAGGAAGGCACACAGTGGCCACCCACCTGAGCTGTGCAGCTCAGCAGGACTGAAGTCAATGTCTCCTTGGACAGGGCTGCATTTCGCCACACACTCTGCCCACCAGGAATTGGCCCTAGTCCACCCAAGAAAATGCACGGATGTGTAGCTGCTACAGCTTATGCCCTGCCCCAAAGAAGGCATACCAGTCTTCCTCAGTTTGGTGACCCATGGATGTTTTAACACTGAGCATTTGGCCTTGTGGGCTGGGGCTGATGGGAATTATAGTCCAGCAAATCTGGGAAATGAGGGGAGGGGGTGGGGAAGGCTGTGTGTTATTTTGCCAAATACAAGAGATGTCAAAGTTGAGGAGAAATTTCGGAGCCAGCGTAGAGCAGTTCAGAAGGGAGTTGGGGCTCATTTATTTATTTTTTATTTATTTATAAAATTTGTATGCCGTCCAATTACTAACGTCTCTGGACGGCTAACTGCATAACTAAATTGACAACCCACTCTGGCTACTCAAAGAGCTTACTCCTGAGCAAAACAGCTGTCAGTTATGCCAGCCACTAACCCCTCTGCCTCCCCTCATGCCCTCTTTCTATTGCAGCTGCTCTGAGTGCAGATCCTACTGTTCTGGGCAAATACCGGGCTGGATTTAATGAATGCATGAACGAAGTCACCCGTTTCCTCTCTACCTGTGAAGGGGTGAACACGGAAGTCCGCAGCCGGCTGCTGGGCCACCTCTCCACTTGCCTGGGTCAGATTGTGGCTATGAATTACCCTGCGCCGCCGCCGCCAGCCACAAGTGGACAGCCTGCGCATCTGGCTCAGCCTCTGCAAGTTCAGTTGCCGGGCCCATCAGCAGGAGCTGGGGCCATGCCGGTGCCATGCAAGCTGAACCCCGCAGAAACCCTATCCCCAAAAGTCTACGGGGGGTTCCAGCTGGTGCCAGCGACCGACGGCCAGTTTGCTTTTCTCATCCCTAACCCTGCATTCCCTCCGGGTGCAGGGCCTGTGATCCCACTGTATGCCAATGCAAACATGCCGGTTTCCGCTGGCGGTTCAACTGCACCTCCTTCCATGTCCCCGGTGCAAGGGCTCACGTCCTTTGCAGGGAGCTTAGCACCAGTCTCCCAAGCGGGCGGAGAGCGTAGTGAAACGGTCTGGAGACCATGGTGACTCTTCTCTGGCACCTCCTTCTCCCCGTACCACAAAAGACTCTGAATTTGGTTCCGTTGCAGGGAACCTGGACTTAATTTTTTTGTTGGTTGCATTTTTTTTTCAATCTATTTATTCATTTCCAAAGGTTGGGACTTCAGTTTGCATTTTTACTCTGCTTTTTAATTCAAAACAAAACATGTTATGTGAAATACTTCTGTGAAATACTTATCACAACCTAAGGAAAGTTTTAGTTTTGTATCAAATATTCCCATATACTATGCCAAAGCATTTTTTGTGAGTTTGTGTATGTCTGAGATTTTGTTTTTAAAGAATGTTGGAAGATGTTTGTACAAATAAACCCTTTCTTGAAGTAGAAGTGTTGCTGTTTGGTTGTAGGAGCAAAGACTGTAGACAAATTGAGTATGTTGAGATGTGACTGTGTAGATATGAGCAGACAGGCTAATGTTTTTCAGTGAGCTAATGACTTTCCTTAATTCATGCAAAAGATGGGGAGGCAGCTTGTTTCAGAATCACAGGTTATATTTTTAAAGGGTAGAAGGGAAAGTAGCCACAAAAACTGTATTGCAACTCCAACGTATGATCTAACCCAATTAGACATCTGAAAATGCTTTTGATCAACTAAAATGCTCCCCCAATTAGGAGGTCAGTGGATTTTTTAAATCAGAAAACACATAATTGCAATGTGCATTTCTATGTATAAAGGAAAGGGTCACTCTCCAAAGAATGCCTGCTTCAGTAGACCTGCATTACCAAAAACTACAGTTTTGTTTTGGCTTTAGAACTGTTGCTACTCTTAAGCAGCTAATCTTATGTAAACTTTCATGGGAGAAATTCCTGGGGACTACATCAAGCCGTACTTCTGAAGCATTATGCTGTACAAAGATGATTTTTCTTTTAACAGAGTGGCAGGCTCTCAAAAATCATACTCTCATTCCAAGGCCTCATTTGTTAAGGCAGCCTCCCAAAGAATGATGCTCTCCAGATCTTTTGGACTACAATGGCCTATGCTGGCTGGGGCTAATAGGAGTTGAAGTCCAAAGCATCTGGAGGGCAGCAGGATGGGAAAGGCTGTATTAAGGGTCCCCTTTTAAGAAAGCAAAATTGTTCCTATTATTCCCTTTCAACCACCAGTTCATATTTATTTGTTCATATTTCCCAGGTTTTGACAAAGGTCTGTGGGAAGGCTCTGCTAAATCTTTAAACAGGTTCTGTTGACAGTGCAAGAGCAGAAAAGATCTGCTTGATCTGAGAATTCTGCTACGATCCCATCCAGCTTCTTAGGCTATTTCCTGCTTTCAATGGCTTTCTGACTCAGAGGGCATAATTACTATTTTCTCCCTGTTCTAACAGGTGCATAGCAGGCAGAACCTCAGCAGATTTCCCCCTTCAGTGCAAATCATTCCTCAGAAGTGTTGCCTGTCTCATCTATTAATGGTAACTCCCACAACACAGAGCAACACCCAAAAACAATCTCATAAGCTCCTCTTTCTGTTTAAACTGGGCTGCTTACTTTATATGCAAGATTATTGGCCATTTAGAAATGTTCTGAGATGCTTTGGCTGTGGCAAAATCTGTTACCAAGTGTACAAGAGCAGGGTGGGATGACTTGTCGATGTGTCAAACTACAATTCCCAGCATCCCCAGCCTGCCTGGGGATTCTAGGAATTGCAATTCAACACATTGGTCAGGTACCAGGTTGGGGAAAGCTGTTCCAAAGAATGGTGTAGTGAACAGAACTTGGTGGGGAGAGATTTCCTCCCCGGCGTGGAAAGTTCACTCCACGGACCAATTATGGTTTGCGATGCAGAGTTAGAAATCCTTTTTTCTTTCTGGAGGCGTTTCTCGTTGCGTTCCCACGTGAGACACAAAGGAGGTTGTCTGCACATGTTCTTTCTGTGCCTCCTATAGGATTTAACACAAGGAGCAGGTCTGGCCAGCAGTTATGGAGAGGAGTAACTGGAAATACACATTTCCTAGTTTTGGAATGCGAATCCTGACAGCTTGTCATCTCTGCCTCAAGAGCAAGCCAAACATCACAGCTCCAAAAGTTCTTCTACCGTGTCAAAATTAAAACCTGAGCTGAAAAGAGTGCTCTCCTACCTTCTTCCCACACCTCTCACTCACTCATCCACTAATTCCATGGTAGATGGAATTGCAGAAAGATGTTTCTCCTCTCTTAACGCATAGCCTGCTATAATGGGCGCACACCACACGCAAGAAAGGGAAATGGGGACAGGAAAAAGGACCTCCCTCCGCTCAAGCACTGGGACTGCGTGCCAGTTGGGAGGAGTGGGAGGTGGGTGACGGGGGAGCCAGGGTGGCAGGCGGGTTGGCTCCCACCCTGTTGTGCTCCATGGAAGGCACGGCCACGTCTGAGTTGGGCTCAGAACTGAGCTGAGATTAGAACAAGCTATTTTTTCACGTCTGCAGTAAAGGGGCATAGTTTGACTTCCCTGAGTTTGACCAGTAAAGAGTTCTACCCAGCCCTGGGGAAGATTGGGGGACAACGGCCCACCTTGTCTAGAGTGGTCTTGGTTGCATATGTTCTTGAATCAGGTAGGTTGTGACCCCCACCCCAACCCCATGGGACTTCTAATGGGAGAATCTGTAATGGGGAAAAGGATGTGTTACGCAGTGGTTGGATCTTGCTGGGGACCCTGGATACCTCCACTTACACCCCACCTTTCTCAGCTACTTCCATGTGGAGATTCTTGCTTCTGTGTTGCCACATGAAGAAGAATTCTCCTTTGAGCAAAACTTGTCTGTTTCTCTTCTGCAGGGACTAGTTCCAAAGCAGGCCATCCTAGGGGCCACCTTTTCTTCCGACGGGGCTCCTGTGCCTTTAATACCACCCCACAGCTAGAATACCAACAGAGTTCTCTTCTCCCGTCCCCTCCCGTCCCCTCCCCTCCCCCTCCCCCTCCTCTCCATAACAGAATCCATGTGGCAGAACAGAGGTTACTAGTTTTCAGCCGCTTTCTTTTGAAGGCCCCACCAGGAGAATGCTAGAGCTTCAAGGGAAATGACTCCAGCCCAGGCTTTTATGTGCAGGCTTTCTATTTGTGGGGAGTGGGGCAGGCCATTGTGGATTAAATTAATGCGCAATATAACTGGCAAAGACGATCCACCACACCAAGGTAGTGGTGGTTATGCTGCTCTCCCTCTCCTCTCAGAGGCTGGACAGCATCATGTCTAGACTATCTTTAGACGTGTGCGTTGCCATGATGGGAATACTTGGAAAATATAATGTGGTTTCCCGTCGCCTTCCACATCACAGTGCTGCAGATGATTACTATGGCTACCAGTTCACCCACAAGCTCCGTACTGAAGTCCACCGGTAGCCCTTGCCTTACACTCCAATCTGTTTTGGCCTTGCTGTCACCCAAGGTCAGGCCGAATTTAGAGGTGAACTAATTCCTCCAGCCTCCAAAAGCTCCCTGGTCAAGCTCCTGCCCAAAATGGTTGGTTTTCCCAGTGCTCAGGTTGTTTACTGCTACCAAAAACTTGGTGTGGCTGAAATTAATTATGAGACCACGTTTAGAATATTGTGCAGTTCTGGTCACTGCACCTAAAGCAGGTTATTATAAGGTTGGGAAGGGGCCCAAGTTTGCCACTGAGCAAGCAGAATGCTGGAATGGACAGACACTAGTCTGATCCAGAATGGCTTTTCTTCCGTACTTATGTTTGTAGCTATGAGGTGGAACTACCATCCGATATGAACAAGCATAACAGACTGTTCTATATTAGTATTAATTTTCTCCTGCCTTTCTTATAAGGCTTTTCTCCCCCCCCCCCCCTTTTCTTCACTGCAGCCCTGCAAGGTAGATTAAGCTGAAAGATCATGGATGACCCAAGGTCAGAGAGTGAGCTTCACGGATGAGAACCTGGGTCAGCCCCAACTCTCCCCGCAGCCTACCTCACACAGCTGTTGTGCAGATTAGGAGATGCAGAATTTCCATCTATGCAGCCCCAGCTCCCTTGGAAACAGCTCAGAATAACTATATAATATGACAACTAATAAATAAGCTCACTTTTCTGCCCAAATTTATGCCTTTTTTCATTAAACCTATTTCATGAGCTGGTTGGGGACACACCCCTCTTCTCTTCTCTTTTTCTCATTCAAGGAGCTGGAGGGAAGTGGGAAAAGTTACCCTCCCGCCTTAAGGAGTGCTAGGCAAAGAAGAGTCCTGGCCCTATTGTGGAGAAGGGTAATTAAAGGGTATAAAAGGTCTCATTGAGAATGCAGCGGGTTCTTTTGCAAGGCCGAGAGTCTATTGAGATCCTTGGGAATGTGCGCAAAAGGGTTAAATATGCCTCTTTTTCCTGCTTCCCACCCACCCACCCCAGAAGCCCCCTTCTCATTGACAGAGTGAGATGGACTCTCATACTCAATGGTGTTGTAAATTGAATCGCCTGCTTTCACAATGCCCACCTCATAAAGGAGAATAATTCAGCCCCGGTCCTCCTCTTCTCTCTCTCTCATTCTCTCTCTGTCCCCTGCCCCCCTTCCTCCACGGTGCAGCAGGGAAGGAAAAGAATTGAGGAAAAGACAATTTTGCCACCCATTCACACACACACACACCAAGCATGTGAATCTCAGCCAAAGGGGAAGCAATCAAGCTTGCTTGCTTGCTTGCAGAGGAACAAACTGTTTCAAAAGCGGTACCAAGAGGAAAAGCTAAACCCAGGGGGCAAGGGAGGCAAAGGTGGCCCTGAACGATAAAGCATGAGGAGGTGATGACAACCGCTGCCATCGTCCTTGGCCTTTTTGCAGGATTTTATTAGGCAAAGCAACCCCTATTATCTCAGGAACTTATACAACAACCCAGTAAGGTAGGAGGGTGCCATCATTCTTGCAGAGAGAAGAGCTGGCATTTGGACTGGGATGATTCTAGGTCAGCTCCAAGGGCCAAAGCTAGACACCTTAGCTACACAGCACATTGTTAAAATCATAATCACATTCACAATTGCAAGATGTTAACGATGAACGCCAACTGGAAAGGCTTTTAAAAGGGATTAGGCAAAGTTATAAGGAAAAGCTTTCAGTGGCCAAATGGTGGCTCAAGAGGCAGAGGCAACATGCCTTTCAGTATTAGTTGCTGGAGAACATCAGCAAAAGAATGCTATTCTCCTCTCTTGTCCTGCCTGAGAGCATAGTATTTGAGCATCTGATTGGCTCCTGGGAGACAAAACGTGGGACTAGATAAACCCCCAATCTGATCCAGCGCCTCTGTCCTTGATTAAACCAATTCAAGTTTGCAGCCCTAGGTTCTGGGTTCATACAGTATCAGCAAAAACAAATGTATAAATTAAAAAGCATGCAAATCAGTGAATTAAAAGTGAATACTCTTT